CCATCCCTGCGAATTGGACGATCGAAAGGCGAATTTATCGTTTCCCTCCGTTGGAAGGGGAGAGGAAAGGAGAGGTCGCGTCTCGGTCGTGACAATCTCGATCGAGGCGCGGTTCTCGTGGCCTCGAGCCACGGCGCACAGGGTCAAGGGGTCACTTTTCTGTCGATCCCCTTTCGCTTTCGATTTCGTTCGCTTCGATTCTGCCCGCTCGCCGAAAACTGGTCCGTCCGGTTGCGCAATCGGAAGACAGGGAAGTCCTGTCTTTCCGCGAAACGTCTGCACAATGACTCGACGAATGCCACTCGTCCACTTTCACCGTCGTCCACGCGCGCACGCACGCACGCACGTCCTAGAACGCGCGCGGTCACCTTTGAAATCCGGTCGAAAGAAGGCCGTGGAAATTCCGATTCGTGCACGCCTTCGTGACGGCCACCTCGGTGATTGCTGCATCCGAACATGCAAAGAAGTTTTCTTACGATTTTGAATTTTTAATTTTTCCGTGATTACAGTTCTTCGTGCACTCCTTCGTGACGAATATTTCGGTGACGTCTGTGATTCGTGCATCTGAAGATCGGAGGAAAATTGTTTAGAAGAAATTTACTTCTGGGTGATTTTTTTTTATTTTTATTTTTTTTACAACGTTGTAGTATATATATATAAAAATCCGATTTTGGTACGATCTTAGATGGTTGATTTCTCTGCGATTCGTGCATCTGAAAATCGGAGGAAAGAAAGAAAATTGTTTAGAAGAAGATGACTTTTTTTTATTTTTATTTTTTTTACAACGTTAGAACGTAGAATATACGTAAAAATCTGAGTGATATTAGATCTTAGACAGTCGATTTCGAAATTTTTACGAAGTGACAATGGATTATTTAAAAAGTTCAAGCAGTTATTAAAATATTCAAATGCCTTCCGAAAATATTAGTTCGAGGCAAGAAGAGAATATCACACTATATTTTAAACTTGTCGTAATTCTTTCTTACAGTTCTTCCTTTAAGTAAAATTCGAACGTAGAATATTCGTCGTAATAACGGTAGAACGAAAACGTCGGTCTCTTCTTGGGGAATAAATCAAGGCGATATTAAAAAGAGGAAGAAAATCGAAAAAGAAATATGATAGTTGATAAAGAAGATGAGAAATTTTCTTCTCCGCAAGGACGCGGATCTCCGCGTTTCAAGGCCACGCTTTCGATTTCCGTATAAAATCTGGCTGGGGACGGATCGAAAGTGAAGTGGCGTGTTCGTAATCGAGATAGTGGAGCGAAAGACGTCACAGAAAATGAGGCGGGTGGTCAACGATACTCGAGACTAATATCTGGTTAGATCGTAATGAGAGTAATTACTATTAACGGAGAACAATGCCCCTCTTGCGCAAGTTAAAAGGTAAAACGGAGCAGCACAATGTCATTGGCTTGTGCAACTAACTTAATCCCACAAAACGTTGGCCTTTATTCGATTAATTCCCGCCAATCTTCTGAATGAAACGCTCCGTACGTTCGTGAAACGAGAATATCGCGTCCATTTAATT